TGATGACAAAGGTTAAGATTCTAATAATGTTTTCATACTTCATGAAAGCCAGACACTTATGAAATTTTGATAGGTGTAAGGATAGGATGTTATTAATGAGGGCCAGCTTACTTCCTGCATCTGTTTTTGAGTACAGTACTGAATATATCTGAATAATGCAATTTATTAATGGATTCAATACATATTTTTATAAAGAGACATTACATACATACATACATACATACATACATACATACATACATACATGCATGCATACATACATACATACATACATACATAGTGTACATAGAGACTCAATCAAAATACAATTGGTTTATATAGCCATGCTAATTTCAAGAGGTATGTTTCATTTTTACCTATTTCTGTTGGGGCTTTGTACATTCCCAAGCAAATTCAGTATAGAACAGTAGAGAACCTGGGTAGAACAGCAGTTGTACAAACAAAGTTCTGGAAAGGGTGTTTTGGGGGTGGGGTATGTTTGAAATAAAAGAATGAAAGCAAGTGGATAAAAGGTAAAAAAAAAAAGTGCTAGTGCTATATACAAAAAACAGACTACTGAGAGTAACAGAACTCTCATAGTATAATAATAAACTGTGACTATTAAACACATCAGATCTATAATTGTATCAAAAGAAATTAAAAATTGCTATTAAATAGCCTGGGGAGGAAAAATGTTATGATGCAAAGTTAACCATTTCTGAACATTTTTCAGTTACTTTATCTTCAGTTACTTTAGTGGTACTGCTGTAAAAATGGTATATGGACAAATATGCTTTGTATGCATATTTAAAGGCTGTCAGAATATCTATTCTCGTATTATACAATTACATGATTTCACCATCCTCTGAGAAAAGAAAACTGATCAACAAACTCAGCAAGCCATTCTTAGAATCAAACTCAATTACTCTGCCATGAGCACTCTGCCAGAATGCAGAAGGTGGGAAGAGGCAACCAAAGATACACAAAGATACACTCATATATGATATTATGTAAGTGAAAAAGGCTGCACTGTGGTCATATCAGAGTTGATTGGAAGCAATTCTTCCTGCTTAATATGAAGTTCAAAAGCATGAATATAATTTAGGACAAATTTCCTAGCCAGAAAAAATAAGACTATTTCAGTAATGAGTAACTGTATGGAATATGAAAAAATCACTTAAAGGCCGTTCAACTGTTCCCACAATGGCACATCTATGGTAAATCGAATAGAACTGCAATTATAATTACCTAGGCTTAACTGAATAGACAGCATGCAATAACTGTAAACAAATAAATAAATATTGATGTAGATTTCACTTGCAGGAAGTAGATAGATCAGTGTGTAAATGCAAGGGTTCTCACAGCATGGAGGAAGTGTTGAAGTTGACTTTTTATTTGATCCTTTCCTTTTAAGCCTCAAGGTCAAAGTTTATCTAGAACAAGCTAGTTCCTTGTAAAAGTTTTGGTTTTATAACCAACAAACAGGATGCTAAAGGGGAGTAGGAAGAATAAAACAAAGAATAGCTCAAGTATAAGGCTTCAAAATCTTTTTATAACAAAATTCTGCAGGTTGTCTTCTAACTGATAAACTTGATACACTGACTCCAACTAGGAAGCTTCAGTGTCCAGCAGAAGGTCAGTGTTTGATAATTTTATAACACAAAATAGGAAAATCCTGGACGAGTTTGACCAAAGGCAGATTAGAAGTCCTAATTTTTTTCTACACTGAATACAGGTGCAGGATTTTTCAACTACTGCATAGTGTCAAGTTCTTTCTGTGCAATCTGATTTCTCTATGCCTGCCCTTCCTTCTTAATTAGATGCTCTATCAAGTACCAAGATCTACTTTCTCCTTGATGGTTTACAGTATTATCATCAATTTGTTTCCAAATTGCCCAGCCAAGTATGCTAAAACCTGTATGAAACAGGTTAAAGAGAATACACACCTCATGAGTAAAGTGGTGCTTCACCTCATCACAATTAACTATTTTGTTAGAATTGATGCAGTAACATAAATTACAAACTGTTCACTTAGTCAACCTACCAAAATACCATGATATATATTTTAATGCAATTTAAATCAAGTGGCTGGTTAAAGTTTAATCATTACTCAAAATACAGATTGGTCCTATATCCAGCATTATAGTGCCAAAAACAGATCTCAGGCTCTTGTAAGATGTTTATCTAGATTAGAGTTGGGGGTGGGTGGGAGAGGTTGGGTCTCCCAAAACTATCCAATAACTGCAAAATATAGCCATTCTTCTTTCAGTGATTTTTGTGATGACATTGGAAAGGAGCTTCAAAACCTAAGTATATACAGTAGTATCTTCCAATGAATCTTCCAGGTAGTTTGGCTAACTCAGCACCAGGATTAAATTCATTCTTTCTTCAAACGAGTTCGCTGAGCAAGGAATACAGCTGACTAAATCTATCCTAACATCCTTGTCATCTATATACAACTAAAATTCTTGTGTCTGTTTGTAATCTTCACTCGGGCAAAATAGTGCATCATAGGAAATCAGTTATTGATCTACGGTGCCTCAAATGGGTTAACTTACAGAATGTGTCCAAAATCAGAGACCCATCACTCATATAAGATTGAAATTTGGCAAAGTTGCAATTGTTCAGCACCCTTGTGCCTTTCAACTACACTTCCTATAAACCTGTAGGTTGAATGATGCAAGGGTACATGTTTCTTGCCTCCCTTTGTCCCCTGCTGGTGATGGAATCTGATGAGTGAACAGTTGGCTGCTTTGGAACTGTGGCCAAAATGTGAAACCTCTTAACAGTGGTGGGCAGTAAGGGAAGGGTAAGACAACGATTTGGATGTCTGCAGCAAGGTGGATGTTGCGCTCACTGAGCAAACCCTTTTCCTCCTGGGAGGGAGGAGACAGAATAGGGACACTGGGTTCAGTTTCTCTTACAGTACACAGTTCCCTTTGTTCTCCTCCATCCAGCAAAGTTGCAGGCAATTCCTTGGCATAGCCATGGAGGCAGATGAGTGATTTTCACACTCCCTATCACCTTCCTAAAAGTAACATCAATAGGGAGGCCAGCAGGAAAATGGAAGTCATTCCCATTCCCACTACTTTTTTGCTTGTCTGGGGTTATTCCGTTTCTCTGTTTAGGTAAGGATCTATGAAAGGATGACCCAATGGGTCACAGGTTATCTAGTTTATTCTGTAACTGTCTGCTTGCCAGGTTTTAGAAAGGTAGTTCAAAACAAATACGTTCAAGGTTAGGAGTCAAATTACACAGCACATAAAATGGAAGATAACTTAAGAAAAGTAGACATTTCTATATTTGGTTAAAATGTGGCACTTAAGCCAAAGCTTTAATTTGCAAAACCAAAGCTGGCTACTACTTAACACTGATCTAGCTTAATTCCTCTCTTCTTTGGTTATTGTTTTATGGAATTTTTACTTCTTTAGGCATTTCTGCCAATTCAGGATAATACTTCTCTTTGAAATAGGAAGCCAAACAGTTTTCTCTGCTTCCTAATAATCTCTCCTCAAACTGTTCTATGTATCAAAGCTGATTTCATTACCTGCCACCTGCTGCTGTTGCTACTGCTGATGGTTTTATTTAAAGCACAGGCATATGGTGAAGAAAGAATTCATCGTGACCCCCCTGAACTACTGCAGATGAATGCTGTACTGTAGTGACAGAGAGAAGCTGCTGCTGCTGCTCTTTCTTATGACTCGGCGTCAAAACCAAATATAATGGTAAGGAAACCTCCCACATTCAGTCCTTGCCACCCTTCCTCTCAGCCATTTTTAAATACTATAAATGATTAAAAGATTTTTTTCAAGGCTTCTCTATCAAGAGTAAACAGATACAATATAGGAGGTTCTGTAAAACATAACATCATTGAAAACAGTAGTATGGCCAGCAAATTTTGCCAGGAAAATTGACTCGGCAAATTAAATATCTTAAATTTTCATGAAAAAGCATGCTGGAGGCTAACCTGTAAAGTTGAAAAAAATCCAGAAGATGACAATCATGTTCATATTATTGCAAAAAACCTCTATGTGTACTTTTCCACAAAGCCAGCAGGAGTAAAGTTTGGCTCAAAAAAGGTCTTTCCTTTTTATTCTTTCTGAATGGCAACCCCATAAACTGAACCCATCAGGAATGAGAATCTGCCATCAGCTGCCTTTTACTTTACTCACTTCTTGTAGAACAGGGGCGCGTCAAACTGCCGGCCCACGGGTTGGACGCGTCACAAGGAAACCGTGCCCATCCCATTGCCGGCAATGGGGAAAAAGCTCAGATACATCGTGCAATGTCATGTGACATCGCGAGTTTGATGTGTCTGTTGTAGAACATCTCAATCATTAACTACAGTAGAGAAAAGTGGACCTGGGCTATGACAAGTAGCTGCCTTAGTCTGAAATTCACAAAACCCCATTTCTTTTCTACAGATGGTATTTCAACACAGTTGATAATTTTTTCACCCCTCAACTTATTATTTTCTTCCATTGGGCAGGGAGAAACCAGGCCAAATTATGAAAAAAACCCAATTAGTAATCCCAATTACTCTTATGAAAAATATTTTCATCCAGAGATGTATTTAAAATAGATATTTAAGATGTAGTGAATTCATTAATCATGAAAACACTACATTTACTAATATATGTCTTAACTTTGTTTACCACAATAAAGCAGCATTCCGTCTATTGCTCTAATAGTACAGTACCTGTCAATCTTATTATATATTTCCAGATCCATTAGGTATGAGCACACATTTACAAAGGAGAACATTTTGATTCCGTTGCTACCCTTATGCAATTCTAAATCATTCTTGAGGAAGTCTTTCTTACTTGTCAGGCTGCTTTCCAGAATTATAATTGTTTACAATCTGAAATTCCATTTCCTGCTATAGTGACAGTTTGGTAAGTATGTGCTTTGTTACAAAACTACTTTTGTCTTAGCTAAATGGGAGAATAATCCTTTCCAGACTACAGTGTATAATCAAGAATGATCTAGGTATCACTAGCAAAAAGAAGTATGCAACTCACCTGTTCTTCAGAGAGCTGTGAGATGTGATTAACAGCAGCATAGGACTCTATCTTTGGATTGAAGTGGTTGATGATAGCTCTGAAAGGGAGAAGAACGTTAAGCTATACGTGAAGGTTAGAAAGAAATATTTTAATCCACAGTAGCATATTAGCAGATAAAACTTAAAGTGAACAGTTGAAAGAATATATAGCTCTAAATAGAAAAATGGGAACAAAATTGAATCATTCATTTATCACCAAGCTTTCTTTTCATTTTATATATTTAAAACTGGTCCATGTTTGGACTTTTCCTAGAATTGAAACTATGATGTTTGTTTAGAAACTATATAGGCATGAGCATGTACATACTATTTTTTTGCTTATATGCAACTACTGGGGTATTTACATTTCAGATAACTTTTCCTTTTTTCACAGCCAAAAATGACATCTTGGCAATGAAAATGTAATATAAAACACTATCCTTGATTTAAGAAGAGCTAAAAGACATTCCTTACTTTTCATAGCCAAAATAACTGCCCCGTCAGCAACCTCATAGTTATTTAACTTAAAGACTAAGAGCAATCCATGGCCAAATTGTGATATACATCATAGGCTTTATATGCAATGCACTAACCGAGTGGGTCATGGCAGATGGGATAATCTAAATACAGATGTCCCCATAATATTTAATCTGCCAATTAAATATTAGACACAATGCAATGCAATTATAATTTGGGAAGTGAAGATAATGTATAATAGGAAGTTAAAATTATGAAGATAATGAAATACTGCTCAAAAGAAGATTTCATAAAGTTTTTATATTTTTAAAAATCAGAATCTATGGCTATAGAAACCATCCAACTATTATCTCTTTCAAGATTTGTTTTTATAGTAAATGTGATAATAGTTCTTATCTCTATAGAGATAAAAATAAGAGAAAATAAGGGCACAATTTCATATAGTGCAAGAACTTCCTCACTGGGAAAAAATTAAACAGTAGCACTTTCTAAAATAAATAGACGTTCTCATTTGTAGGAGGTTAACAGCTAAACAAAAGTATTTCAGAAAATATGCAAATATATTTTATGTAATATTAAGTCCAAAGATATAGGGTATATTCTTTATGTGCAAAGGAATTATTTTATTTCTATTTTATTTGAAGCTGAAGGAATTAAAGTTTCAAGCCTAATAATGGTCTCATTTATTCTCTCAATTTCTCTATGCTCTATCATTAGCTTAAGGGATAAATACATGAAGTGAGTATATCCAGCAGATTAGAAAATGAATCTTATCTGAGATCCTTTGTCACACAAGAACCTCTTTTTTTGTTGTCCGTCTGTAACTGCATATGGAAAAGACCTTGGGAAAGTAGGCAAAGAGACACTAGCAAGGGAACAGTCAAAGAAGAGATAGCATAGCCCACAATTAGATAGTGGGTGGGGCAACAGGATCAGAATAGACTCACCCTAGTTTTTTGGACAGTAAAATAGACTGGGTTGGGGGTGAGTGGGAAGAATTGTATTTTCAGACTTGTAAGATTGATGTTTATGAGGTAAACCAGAAAGGAAAGACAACCAGATGAGTTAATTCTATTTTACTGTAAAGCTACATTAACAGAATCTTGCAAGACTAAAATAAAAAAAAATCCTCTACTCTCTTCTTTATATCATCAATTTACAACTACTGTGCACACTTACATCCATATTCCTGTACCTAACAACAAGGCATACCAGAATGAGAGTTAACACTGGGGTTGCTGCACAAGGGAATTTTATCTAAATGAGGCAGCAGCAGCAGCCAGTGATCTTTGTAGCCTCTCCCTCTCCCCCTCCCTCCCTCCCTCCTCCCTCTCTCTCTCTCTCTCTCTCTCTCTCTCTCTCTCTCTCTCACACACACACACACACACACACACAAACACAGTCACTTAGTGATCATGCACTTGACAAACATTTCACCAGACTATATTGCAATTTTCTATTGTTTCAAATTACTTTCTCTGTAAGCTTCTTCCAAATTGAATCTTTAAAATTAATTGTATTCTTTAGCTTCTAGAGAATGTTTGCAGAAGTTATTTACTTTTAATTTGAA